TGACGTTTTCACTTTTGCAGCTCTACAAATACCATCGCGACCACGAATCATTTCTATTATTCGGCCGATAGGCCACGCTAACCGCTTATTATCCGACCCAACTAGGACTACATCACCAACCTTCAATGTGATATCATTTGTCTTACGCTTCTTATCAATTAACATTCCAATATATTCTTTTCGAAAACGATGACGAAGATCATTCATAAGTCGTTGACGCAACCTGTATCTTTTCTGGAACCCTTTTAAGATCCAAACCTTCTCTCTCAAGTGGGACACGAGGTATTGAACTCCTGCATGACACTTATCTAAATATTCCTCATGAATAAGCGCATCAACAACAGGATGTCTTGAAGGAAGTAGAATACACTTCGTAGGAAAATACCATGGAATCTCATCCATCACGGTATTAAACGCCGTAACCATCCTCTTCCTCTCTTGTTGAACTTCATCTTCATTTTCGACATATTTATTGATGGGCCATTGTTCAATATCTTTAATCGAAGCTGGTCCCTCCCACCACTTTGACTCCAATAATGAACGAGCATCACATCCACGAGAAGGCAAATCCGCAGGATTCAAACACCCAGGAACATGTGTAACAGTTTAGTTTATTCATATTCAAATTTCAAAATTACCGCTTGCTAGGTTAGGTACAGAGACTTGCTATAACAAGTCTCTGGTTAGGTAGGATATAGGTGAGATGGCGTCACTTGTACGCGTGTTTCTTTCCTCGCGCAGAAGCGCGTTATTTTTTTCACTGCATTTCCGTTTTAAAGCCAACGAGGTTGTACTTGTTGTAGAGCGTGGCATTGTGAATTCTTCTTAAACCAGTGGGTAATATTTGCCATCATTCACGTGAAATCTCTGGCAATTTTACCTTTTCATTGGCGTTGTCGAGTAGTGTAACTCAGAAGCCGTTTTCTCCATTGCGAGGCTATAATATCTGGTTGAAGTTCATCGCCCTACCTACATATTCACAATTTGAGGTTGGATAATTTCCATATTTCAATGATTTAAGTATTTTTCATTACCCTCCTGACGATTTCAGGTATGTTATTAAAAATCTCGTTAAGGGAGTGTTACATCTTCATTACTTTTAGGGGGTCCATGTAGTAGATGAATTCTTGTACCGGTCAATCTTTGTACAGACGAATCCTTGTATGGTATAGTTTATAGTATATCCTTGCACATTCTTGTGTGCGGAGGACATTGACCTGGCATAATTTTGGGATAGTAAATGAGTTTGCATCTTGCGAATATTCCGGAGTACGAACACCTGTTGATTGCCGGAAGCTATCCGGCGTACCACCGAGTAGATAAGCGCTAACACCTAAACGATACCGGGGAGCGACCAGCTGATTGTGGAATTTTCGGAAGATACGATCTTTTACACAACCTTTTTTTTTATTTGCTTCAATACCGTTAATCTAGTGTAACCTTCCGACGATTTATGATTGGAGCTTTGTATTTTGTTCGCGTCTAGTGTTTGAGGTCGTGGCTCTCTTCAAGAGCAACGCACCTGTATTTAACGTATGGGTAAACGAGCCGGCTACGAGTAAGCTATTTTTGGCCCTTCCGGCTCATATAATCGTTCCGAGCGTTGTAGCTTGGGGTTTGTTTTTGTGTTACAGAACTGGAACTTCGAAGGAGAGCTCTTTTTCGGAGAAGACAGCGTATGTGTTATTCAAGGTAAGATTTTTAATTTACTTGTACCCAGTGTTGCCTATATGAGTTGTTATTCGAGTTAACTTAATTCAATCTTGGAATCCATTGAAATCTTAACTACATTTTTGCTCGATCATTGTTGTAGGGGTCTGGTAACGTAATTATTAGGGAAGGGTTCATGAATTTATTTGGGGATTATTTTTGTCATTTAAAGTATTTGTTATTGTCGTATTGAAGATACATTTTATTTGCCGATCCTGCACCGTTTTGCCAGGATTAATAAATCAGAATTGTTCGTAGTGAATTTATTATTTGGCTCTCTTGTGTTTTCCCAATTTTCTATACAGGAGAGGTCAGAATTTGTGCAAAATTGGGTGGCGCTCAACTAATCATTTCTAGTAACTACCAAAGATCAGAACTTATGTTATATGCCCAAACGAACCAACCGCTGTGGAAGATTCTCATCTCGAGCCCTTCTTTTAATTAAGAATCTGAGCTAGCTGGCCGTTTATGCGGCGGGGTTTGAGTTTTACAGCGCCGAACTAACCTCACGTTATACATGATTAACGTTACTTTCCCACATTGGAAGACAAAATTTCGTTTCTGTCATTATACGCGTTGACTCGTTCTTGAATTTCATGTATTCTTCGACGTTATCAAAACATGCAACTACATTATCAACATGTAACGTTGTTAATAGCTTATCCGCTGTTGACCTAAGATGCTGATCAACTCTTCGCAAATGGTATTCAATAACTGCAGATAAAAGGAATGGACTACAGTTAACACCAAAAACGACACGCTTGTGTCGATAAATTTTGATATCTGAACATGTAGAATCCTCCCACCAAAGAAACCGTAGAAAGTTTCGATCATCTTCCTTAACTCCAATCATGAAAAATGTTTTTTCAATATCAGCTGTTGCAGCGACTGCCTTTTCTCTAAAACGTAAGAGTAGGTCAGGAATAAGTTCGAGCAGATTGGGCCCCTTAGCTAAACATTGGTTAAGACTTGGCCCGCCACCTGCACTACAACATGACGCGTCAAATACCGGCCGCACCTTTGTAATGCTACTGTCTGGTTTGTACACAGGTCGGTGTGGTAAATAATGACAATTTACACAATCACCTTTTACTTCTTCTATTACATCAAGGTTTAACCATTGTTTAAATACCTGTTCGTAGTCCATGTACTTTCCGTCTGCTTTCAACTTTTGTGTCGCATTTTCTAACCTTCTCTGAGCTACAAATTTGTTTGTAGGTAACCGTGCATGATCATCTAACCAAGGAAGAGAAATTTTATATCTACCGTCACTATCCCTTGATACGGTCTGCCGAAAATGTTCCCGCACTTGGTCATCGACTTCGGCCTTTGTTAGCTTTTCACAAGGATCAGAAATACCAATTTTTTCTAAATCCCACAAATTTGTAATGGTGGATGACGAATTGAGCATTGACGTAACTATCATACTAGTAGATGACCATTCACCACAAGTTTTTACTTTTCCCAAAACAGTCCACCCTAATAGTGTCTCAATTGCAGTTAACCCGCTTTCTAATTGATGCAACTTTCGAGTCAGCAACTTCCCATAAATATCACCTCCAATCAGAACTTCGATTTTATGACTTCCCCTACCGACGTCGTTCACTACAATTCCACGTTCATGTAGCTCTTGTGTCCAATTGGCGTTTAATAGTTTAGGAATCCCACCACAAATGTTGTCTTCATCGTATACGTCAAAATGACATTTGAATTTGGAAGACTAAGAGCCGAATTCAGAGTCCTTCCTAATTTCAAACTCACACTCAGCTAGTTAGTCACTCATTTCTAACTCAAGTTAGTGCGAATCCTGCTCATTCTCACTTTTGGTATTCAGAGAACATCTGTAATGAGTGACTAATTTGAGTGAAATCTGTCAAAAATGTTAGGGGAACGATTGGTAGTGAAATTTTACCAAGTAACTAACAAACCGCTCTGGAAACGCTAACTTCAGCATAAACAGATATTTCTGACGTTTTCGCAAATCTCATAGTTTTGTTAGTCTTCCTTATTACTAAAGTTGTTATTATATTTATTAGTTTCTGTTATTGGGGTTATTAATTTTGTTACTATTAATATTGTTCTTATCGTCATAACTATGAACGCCAATAAAAAACCATTCATGACCGGAGATGAGAAGATTTTTTTAAAAGAAATTGGGACTCGGTATATTAACATCGTCGAATGTAAGAAAACCGATGCTGTGTCCGTGTCACAACGAAAAAAGGTCTGGCAGACAATCGTGTCCTTAATTACTTACTAAGATAATGGCCCGTATGAATAAAAGTAAGCAAATGCTTATACAGGGTGGGGCAGAGGAACTTGCTGATTTGTATTCGGCGCCCTTAGGCGACGGTTGCTCCGACGAAAGTGGGAATAGGTTTGGAGAAGGTCATATAAAGTTTTTCCGCCGCGTAGTGTAGTCACCATCATGGAGTGGACGAAGGCGGAACGCGCGTTCGCCGTCGAGGCATACTTTTCTAACGGTCGCTCAGTCATAGCCACGCAACGTGCATTCCGTACTCATTTTAATTTTTTTTCTTCACATCACCAGTTTCCCTTAAATTTTTTACCCATGAAACAATCGATTGCCGGCCAGGAACATGTCCACGTGGCGCGATATTAAAATGAGTACGGAATGCACGTTGCGTGGCTATGACTGAGCGACCGTTAGAAAAGTAGGCCCGACAGCGAACGCGCGTTCCGCCTTCGTCCACTCCATGATGGTGAGTACACCACGCGGCGGAAAAACTTTATATGACCTTCTCTTAAATATACCTATTCCCACTCGTCGGAGCAACCGTCGCCCAAGGGCGCCGAATACAAATCAGCAAGTTCCTCTGCCCCACACTTGCAAAATTCAAAGTAAATACTCGTAAGTGCTCCTTCGCACTGGGCGACTTAGCAGCGCTTCTAAGCAGGACAGGATGCAGTGCAGCGCTGCTAAACCATGCTAAACAGACCAGTATGAAGGGGGAGTTACGAGTATTTACTTTGAATTTTGCAAGTATAAGCATTTGCTTACTTTTATTCGTACGAGCCAATGTCTACAACAACACACTTAAAAACTACTTTGCAATAAAATATTCTAACAAACACAGGAAACACATTTGGCATAACCAAGTTATTTTAAATTAGTGACACTTAAGGGTAGTCCAAAGCTGACTTACATCGCACTCATCTCATACTCACTAGTTAGTAAGATTTTAGTCACTCATTGTGTCTAATTTGTTTCTGAATACCAATGTCAGAGGTTAGGTTGAAATTAGTAGGATCTGAGTGTGAGTTTGAAATTAGGAAGGACTCTGAATTCGGCTCAAACTTTCCAAGTAAAGTTTATACTTTTTGTGCGTTTTAGAAACTATAGATGCACCTCCAAACAAATTATGGGAAAACGTTGATTCTGCAATTTTACGGTACCCTAATTCTAACGCCAAACTTTTCAGAATATAGGAGAATTGCGCTCCAGGGTCGATAAATGCACGCACTTCCTTAGATGTATTTTTTCCAAGTACTTTCACACGAAGTGTTTGTAGAATTACATCCCCACTGCATACACGACTCGCCATACTCGTAGACAAATTTTCTGAATCCTTATCACCTTCATTGCACTTTCTACTTTCTGATGTTGTATCCCTCTTCTGGAGAACAGGACATAAAATTACATAATGTCTCTTACTACATACGATACACTTCACTCGATATTTACAAGATTTTGATCTATGACCAAATCGTAGGCAAGTAAAACAACGTTTTGTCTCTTTAAGCTTCTGTTTTCTGTCTTCTAGTGACCACCCTTGTGCGATGAAACAATCTTGAGTATCGTGACTCTTTTCACAAAATCCACAAGAGCTTTTAACATTTCCAGAGTGCAATTCCATTGCCGTAGGAATTTTCTCAACTTTTTTCTGGATTGCATTTTTGACTTTATTCGAAAGATTTGAAGTCAAACCGAAACCTTCTTGAGCTAAGGAAATTCGCTGTTCACCTTCAACTTCCATACGTAAGAACTGCATCAATTTATTCAACTTATTTGTGGTTTTGTCAGCATCCTTCCCCTCCGCACTTCTTTGCCATGCTTGTAATATATTAGCGGGCAGACAGGACTCCACCATCGGATACAGCATTGCGTCATACTTGTCTGAAGTTACTTTTAACGACTCCAATGCACGCAAATGACTTTCCAACTGGTCATAAAGTTTTGACAAATCACCCTGTTTTTCAGTTTGACTGACATTGTGAATAATTAATTTTAGCATTTCACGCACATAAAGTTCAACCAAGAATTCTTCTCTCCCAAACCTCTCTTTCAACGCTTTTACGGCTTTGGGATAATTCTCTACAGTCTGCGGATAGCTACACACTAATTCATGGGCACGGGACCCATCTACCATCAATTGTACCAAAAATTGAAACTTGTCACTGTCATGTATGGTAATATCTTCGTCTATCTTTTTAAACTGACTCCAAAATCCTAACCACTCTTTGACTTCTCCGTTAAACTTTTTGTAGTTAAATTTTGGCAATTTAAAATTTCTTTGATTACCCAATACTGGCAAGTTCTCATTTTCAGTTATGGCTTTGCATTTTCCATCTATCAGCACTTCAAACACTCGCCTTGATGTTTGAAACATTTTCTCATATTGAGCGATATCATCAAATTCTTCATTTTGTTGATCATCGTCCACGTTGTCGTCAAGCATTTGGTTTTTGATCGTATCGTCCAATATTTGCAATTCCCGATGAGTATCCTCCAACATTAATACATTCACACGCATCTGATCCAAATCCGGAATAGTATTTTGGCTTTCAACGTTTATGTCATCACACAACTTCTTCAACTGCCGCCTGACAGGACGACGCGCTCTCTCTAATCGATCCATAGGTTTTCAAGTTTTCGAATTATCCAACAACTCACAGATCACGTCGGGGTCACCAAAAATGTTCTAGTTGATGCGGCTAGGGACTACAACTACCCGTTGATAGTTTAACCGCGTGTGTAAAAAGATAATTCACGAAAAAGAGAATATTCTATAATCGATCAATTTTATTGTATTGACAATTCAACTCATGTATAAAAAATCGCATAAGCCGCAGTGCAATTGTCACTTTGACAGCGGCAAAAGTTACCTGCAACTTTTCCAGCGACAAATGCACTAGTGGTTTTTTCACTTATTCATTTTCGAACCAATAATCGCATTATCCTTTCCCATATGACTAGTTTGACGTCTGTCAATAATTGATTAATTTGGTGAATTTCTTGTTCGTTAAATTGTCCTGCCGAATTACACTCGAGGTTTGTATTTAAACCGAGTAAATTTGGGTTGTGGCAATTCAAATCTGTTTCCTTTTAGCAATTGGACTCGAAAAACTGTCAACCTAAAAATGCTCCACCTGCGGTGTCGCATTTTTATTAGTTGACAGTTTTTCTCGTCTAATTACTAGGTAACAGATTTTCATTACCTAAACAACCCAAATTTACTCGGTAAAATACAAACCTCTTGTGCAATTATAAGTGACAATTCAACTCATGTATAAAAAATCGCATAAGCCGCAGTGCAATTGTCACTTTGACAGCGGCAAAAGTTACCTGCAACTTTTCCAGCGACAAATGCACTAGTGGTTTTTTCACTTATTCATTTTCGAACCAAATATCGTATTATCCTGTCCCATATGACTAGATGACGTCTGTCAATAATTGATTAGTTTGGTGAATTTCTTGTTCGTTAAATTGTCCTGCCGAATTACACTCGAGGTTTGTATTTAAACCGAGTAAATTTGTGTTGTTGCAATTCAAATCTGTTGCCTTTTAGCAATTGAACTCTAAAAACTGTCAACCTAAAAATGCTCCACCTTCGGTGTCGCATTTTTATTAGTTGACAGTTTTTCTCGTCTAATTGCTAGGCAACAGATTTTCATTACCTAAACAACCCAAATTTACTCGGTAAAATACAAACCTCTTGTGCAATTATAAGTGAATAAAATTATAATTATTTTGGAAGCATTGTTTTACACATTCATTCGATAACAATGCAGGTGTTCAGGACTAGCACATGTGGTCACGATACAGAATTGCGACGAATTTATCTTTGATTATAAAATCTTCAAAGGTACCTATTTAATTTAATGATCAAAATTACGTTTTAGGATGTCTACGTAAACCACGCCATTGCAATCCAAATCCGATTTTCAATATTTTTTACAAATAAGGACCATCAGATCTATCGAAAGTCAAAATAGCTACCTATTTGCGATTGCATTTTTGAATCTTGTTAGAGTTAGATTGCATTAACGTGGTTAGTACGTATATAGGTATACACATTACGCTATTAAAAAACCGAAAATTTACCTTATTAGATCTTGTACACGAAAAACCATTAGCCAAAAACGAAACGACGCACTGCACTTCACTATTTCTCTGCGACTACCTACTGCCAAACTGGCATCGCAAGGTAACAGCGACGCGATATCAGGTGATAGGTTAATGGTTTCTCCCCGACGTCATTATTACCGATAACCGAAAACGCACATCTTTTCAAATTAATATAACTGCTGACTTATTTATTTATCAAAATCAATCATTTTGATCTCAACGAAACTTCCCAAGGGGGCACAATTCCGAGTTTTAAAAAATGTCCACACTGCAACGTTACACTGTAAATCATTTTAATTTTTTCAAAATCATATTCTTTATGTGGGTTACCTTTAGGATAGGTGTCAAGTCCCTAAAAATATTTAAAAATGGCAACTTTAAAGCATTTCTTGTTGACACAATTAGTAACGAAATTAAAAAAAGGCATTGGACAAGTCACCTAGCTCATCTCCCCCTAATCATGCTCTATTAAAATTATGCTTTTCAAAAAATCCATCCATAATACTCGTACTTGAATACTGTGCCACCTTGTCTAATTAAAATTGTACAGTGTGGTCCAATTTCGATGGGATTAAATGGGCAACTTTCTTATTAGCGCAGATAAACGAAAACCGCTTAGGTGCTCGTGACCCTTTTTTCATGCTTATTTCATTACCGTTGCCCGAGATAAGCTGCCTTTTTTGTTGTTTTTTCACTATAGGGAGAAACTGAAAGATGACTCGGCCCATTTCTTCAATTTGCTGAACCCCTGAGTTTTTGAAGCTAGAACAAAATGGCTTTAGCATTATTTAGGGACTATAATTTACATGAAAAAATTAGCTTTGGGATGCACCGCAGTTACTAAAAGGTCCAGAAACAAACGAATCACGGCATTGATTTCTACGTTAAAAAGTGCCTGAATAATGCTAAAACCATTTTGTTCTAGCTTTAAAAATAAAGCAGTTACAGCAAATTGAAGGAATTTGCGATTTTTCAGTTTTTCTTTGGGGAAAAAACAAAAGACGGCAGCTTATTTCTGGCAACGATAATAGCATAAGCATGAAAAAAGAGGTCACGTCACGTGTACCTAAACTGTTTTCGTTTATGTGCGCTAATAAGAATGTTACCCATTTAATTCCATCGAAATTGGACCACACTGTACAGCCTTGTTGCGTAACATTTCTAGATTATATTTATCAGCCGTACACAAGCGCCAAATTTGACATGAAGCTTCTAGAGACCCTAACAAATAATTTCTAAAGGGGTTTGTAAGGGTTAGTGCAAACCCTTTTTGTAAGAGATGGCATTTTTCTCAGAAATTAGAATTTTTACATTTTTTTCTTACTGCAATTTTGCGGGACGTGAAAAGACATGTATGGAACCATACATGATGTGCATTAAGAAAATAATTAAAAGTATTACGAATACTTTCTTCTCCATAAAATATTTTACCCCTAAAATAATTAAGTAATGGATTTGAACATTATATTATGTGATTATATTATAAATCATGATGTGCAGGCTGGCACGTCACCATTTTTATGTGAATCCTCAAATAAGCAATTTAATGCCAAGAACGCTTAACTAGGGCTTATCTGTATTTAACACTGCAAGAACGTTTTATCATTCGGGGTTGCATAAGGCGATTTGTACCTATCTATATCGATTTAACAATTTGTCGCAAAAAAAAATGTCTAGGAAAAAAGCTTATTTAATTACACGAGCCATTCCTCAGAGTTTTTGTAACAACCCTGTATAAGAGACACGGCCATTCATGGTACTCACAAAAAAGAATGTCGTTGATAAATTACTACAATTCATTTCAAATGATTAAAATTATGATTATTTTTGAAGCATTGTTTTATCATTCGATAACAATGCAGGTGTTCAGGACTAGCACATGTGGTCACGATACAGAATTGCGACGAATTTAACTTTGATTATAAAATCTTCAAAGGTATTTTATTTAATGATCAAAATTACGTTTTTGGATGTCTACGTACACCACGCCATTGCAATCCAAATCCGATTTTTTAATATTTTTTACAAACAAGGACCATCAGATCTATCGAAAATCAAAATAGCTATTTGCGATTGCATTTTTGAATCTTGTTAGAGTTAGATTGCATTAACGTGGTTAGTACGTATATAGGTATACACATTACGCTATTAAAAAACCGAAAATTTACCTTATTGGATCTTGTGTACGAAAAACCATTAGCCAAAAAAGGGACGACGCACTGCACTTCACTATTTCTCTGCGACTACCAACTGCCAAACTGGCATCGCAAGGTAACAACGATGCGATATCAGGTGATAGGTCAGTGGTTTCTCCCCGACGTCATTATTACCGATAACCGAAAACGCAAATCGTTTCAAATTACTGTAACTGCAGACTGCGTTTTATTTATTTTTCAAAATCAATCATATTGATCTCAACGAAACTTCCCAAAGTGGGCACAATTCCGAGTTTTAGGAAGTGTCCACACTGCAACGTTACACTGTAAACCATTCTAATTTTTTTTCACAATCATATTTTGCAATTCATGCAGCCTTTATGCATACGTTACGCGGGGTACCTTTAGTGGGATAGGTGCCAAGTCCATAAAATATTTAAAAATGGCAATTTACAGCATTTCTTATCGACACAATTAGTATCGAAATTAAAAAAAAGGTATTAGGACAAGTCACCTAGCTCATCTCCCCCTAATCGTGCTCTATTAAAATTATACTTTTCAAAATATCCATCCATAATATTCATACACCTTATCTAATTAAAACTGTACAGTGTGGTCCAATTTCAATTGGATTAAATGGGCAACTTTCTTATTAGCGCAGATAAACGAAAACCGCTTAGGTACTACTGACCCTTTTTTCATGCTAATTTTATTAACGTTACCTGAGATAAGCTGCCTTTTTTTGGTTTTTTCACTTAGAGAGAAACTGAAAGATGGCCAGGCTCATTCCTTCAATTTGCTGAACTCCTGTATTTTTGAAGCTAGAACAAAATGGCTTTGGCATTATTTAGGGAATTTTTAACATAGAAATCAAAGCCTTCAGTCGTTTATTTCTAGTCCTTTTAGTAACCCAAAGTTGATTTTTTTAAATTGAAATTACAACTTACCATGGCTGTTACTAAAAGGACTAGAAACAAACGACTGACGGCATTGATTTCTACGTTAAAAAGTGCCTGAATGATGCTAAAGCCATTTTGTTCTAGCTTTAAAAAAAGTACTTACAGCAAATTGAAGAGATTGGTGATTCTTCAGTTTTTCTCTGGGGAAAAACAAAAGACGGCAACTTATTTCTGGCAACGGTAATAGCATAAGCATGAAAAAAGAGGTCACGTCACGAGTACCTAAACTGTTTTCGTTTATCTGCGCTAATAAGAAAGTTACCCATTTAATTCCATCGAAATTGGACCACACTGTATAGCCTTGTTGCGTAACATTTCTGGATTACATTTCTCAGCCGTACACAAGCGCCAAATTTGACATGAAGCTTCTAGAGACCCTAACAAATAATTTCTAG